GGCCAGATTAACATACATTCAAAGCACGGTCACTTTAGATATGGAACCTAGAAACATTGTTCCTTGTCAAACTAGGAAAAGACTCAAAGCCAAGGTGATTGCAAATTTGGGAGTTGAAGTGTCATGTTTTTTGTCATGTTTTATGTCGGAGTTGGGCCTCTGACACAGCAGCATAGCAGATACTGCATTTGGAAACTTGTGGTTCCTTCTCTGCTTTCATCACCCAATTAGTCAAAAGTTTTATTATTTAATTCTATTATGTAGCAAAAATAAGAAAAAAAAGTTCCTTAAAAATGAAATGGCCTGTCCAAAGTCCTAATCTAAACCTTATTGGAAAATGTCTGGAAAATCTTTAATAACACAGAGGTGGCTAAAAAACCACTGCAGTAAATGATCTGTGGGAGAGACTGAAGAAAGCCGATCAAGCTCACACAGAGGGTGTGCTCATGTGGCTGCAGATGTGCTGAAGTCATTCAAAGTAAGAGTTTAACTTGTCTCTGTTTTTAGCTATAATTTTAGTTATAGTCATCCTTCATTCATTCCTGTTCTCTTGGTATGAATGTTTTTGTTGAAATGTTAATTATTTTATTATTGTAAAACATATTTTAAAAAAGACATTTGTTAAAAAGTGTTAATCTTGATTTAAAGGGAAATTTTTCAATTTTTATTCCTTGATTTAAAAAAAAACAGTTTATTTATTGATTTATTTATTGATTTTTTATTGTTTTATTGTTTTATTGTTTATTTATTGATTTATTATTATTTATCTTTTTTCACTTTGCATAGGAATCCTTTTTCCACCCATTACTATTAATAGATGCTTCAAAGTGTCCAAACAATTAAAGGCAAATTATCTGCCTTATATATTTCTGATTTGTACTCATATGCTAACTCCTCATAATAGTTGAGAGCAAGCTAGGCAATCAATCTGGTCCAGGACCAATTTTTCTCTGCGTTAAAGGGATAATTCACAAAAAATGAAGCACTATTCATTTATTTATTTATTTTTCTTTGATCTGTTGAGCACAAAAGAAAATATTTTGAAACAAGCTGAAAACTTGTAACCATTAACTTCCATAGTAGATAAAACAAACATTATTGAAATCAGCGGGTAAAGGTTTTCAGCTTTCTTCAAAATATCTTTCGTGTTCAACAGAAGAAACTCTTAACAGCTTTGAACAAGTGGAGCCTGTTTAATTATGACAGAAGTTTCTGTTTTGGGTGAACCATCTCTTTAAGACATTGTTTTTCATTTATATTATCATTGGCTTTTCAGAAAAAAGTACAAGAAAGTGTTGTGAGTAGCTAACTGTGTACTCATTTTAAGGAGTCCTATTTAACACACTTATACTTTGAATTACCATAAATGTTTGTTACCTTTTTCATGTTAGGCTTGGAAAGAGACACATTCCCTCTATAATGGTAGAAATGGACACAGCATGTCAAGCAGAGGTGTTAAATAGCATGTGACTGACTTCACTCCAATAAGCAGAGGCGAGCGAGGACATAAAATGGATCACAAAGAGCAGGCAAGTCTGTCTTCTTTACCCAAAGACCTTCAAATGTGTTTTGAGAGAAAGACTTGAAATGTTTGCGGTACAGCTAATGTTTTCAGTTAAGCCTTGTTTAAGAAAAGAAAAAAGTGAGTTACTTAGCAGAAACTGAGGAAACTCAACTCTACTTGCCTGGAGAAAAAAAAAAGAGAGAGAGAGAGAGATGGAGGGAATTGTGGGCAGAGCTGAAAGTGCTGAGGTTGTTCTTCATACTGCAGAATCAGCTGGGAAAAGATTGAACTTGCTCAAAATGTGCACAGAGAGAAAAGGAGTGGAGTTCTTGACTGAAATATATACACAAAACCCAGTGCCTTCAGGATCAGCACACACTTAAGCAATCTTTGAATGCCCGTCATCGAGTATGTGCTAGACTATATCTTGATGTTTAGACAGATGTCTGATTGAGAAAAGATCAAGCTCTAGGTCGTATCATTTGTATTAACATCAGTAGTGTGTGCAGATAAGCTGTGTTTTTCTCTTTCTGGGGCAGTTTGGGATTCCAGATGTTGTTGGAATTCTCCTTGATCGCTGGCCTCGGAAAGCGTCCGCCTCCCAAAAGCCTCGTGACTCGATTCAAAGAGCCAAAACATTATCCATCTTCAGACATTTACTCCAAACAGCAAAGTACATTCAGCTCTCTTTGTTAAAATGCACACCAACACTTTTCTCATTTGTGCATATGATTGAGTCTCAATCAGTATCTGGAAGTGTAATTATCCTCAAAAGACGCACACTCTTGCATTATAACAGAGATATGTTTCCTTGCGAACAGTGCCAAAAGGGTTTGCAGAATTATAATCATTCCTGGTTTCAGTTAATCCTTGGACCTAGCCTGCTTTTTCCGTCCCATTTATATGGCCAAGAGTTTCCGAGTGCCAGCAACAGGGAGGAGAGAAAAGTATAGAGTGAAATGACTTAGAAATAAAGATGATTCTATGCAAGGTTTTGTATGTGGGGGCATCGTTAATTTGAGTGAAAGTCATAAGTCCAGATGAGTTGATGTGAGATGTGTTTTACAGGTCGACTTTCTGAGGTTAAGAGAAGGTCGGAAAGTGGTCTTGGATTCGTATGCAGGTGAAGAGGAGCAGCTGGAGTTTAGGACAGAGATTCGAATATCCTTTCACCTCGCTAATGTTGTTCAGGAGTAAGTTGGTTAAATATGACAAAGGGAGAGCTTATGCAGAAATAATGGAAATATTCTGCTGTAATGGTACACGGGACAGTGCTAGTAGATTACTTGGATAGTGTCGTCTGATACTGATGACCAGGGCCAGACGGAATCTGCGGACGTTTTTTGCTATTTCTTCTGAGAATTTTGGTAAAAATCTGCGGATTTCTGCAGAATTATTTTGGGAGTATCCAGCGGAGTATCATAACTAAAACCTTAATATATGAAATAAAAAGTAATACATTACTGAATAAAAACTGAATAAATTTAGATTTACACATTTACTCAAGTAAATAAACAGAATTAACGATGGGCTAAAAATCTACAGAAATCTGCGGAATTCTGCGCACGCAGATTCCATGTGGGCCTACTGATGACATGATTCTATTACTATCTAATGCAATCAGATTACATTACCTCTTGGTTCATTTTTGTTTATCTTAAACTATTTAAAAAAATCACATCTTAGTATTATTATATTTTTGAAAATGCAAACTAAAATGTAATACTTAAGGGTGCCATAGAATCAAAATTTGCATATACCTAGGCATAGCTGAATTATAAGATAATGTCCAAAGAGAGTCAGGACCTCGGTTAAAGACATCTTATCTGAAAGATGGTGCTCACTGAGTGAGCCATATAGAGTCCCTATCAATATACAGAGGTGTTAAGACCCACAAAAACCACAGGTTGAGCACCACTAACACCACTTCCTCCAGTAACCTAGTTTTCTTCCATCCAAGTACTGACCAGTCGCAGCCCTGCTTAACTTTAGTGGACGACCATGTGAGAATTGCTGTGAGCTAGCTGCCGGCAGAACCATGAGCTGTTAAACCATGAGCGTCAAACACCATTGCTGCCTTGTTTTTGTGTAAAATTCTGGTAAAGAGGAGGCAAATTAAAACTAAACTCAGACTGTTACATTGCACCCATAATTATAAATATGCATGACATTCATGCATCATGTCAAATCTCTTAGCTCTTACTGTGATTTGTCTTGAGTTAAATAATGCCAATACACTTTATAAAACTTCTCTATTTATGCAGAGGTTAATATTAATTACTTTGTGTTTATATACGTTCAGCTTCAAATGAACATATGACATATGATTATTTTGTATGGGTGTATTTAAGAGTATGTCATGCTGTGTGTGAGAGCAGGCACTGACACCTGCTGCAGAGTCAAAGCTGAGCTCATTAATATTCATGACCATTCCAAATATGGTCAAAGCAGAGCTTTTCATTTTAAGGGTAATTCTTCTGGTTCTGAATGAGCATGTAAAACTGTTTCTGTCGAATTTCTGAGCTTACCTAAATCACCTACAATGTAGATAACAGAGAACAATTAAACATATTGAGTCCATGCACATTACAGCATCTTTACATTTTAATTTTGGGCAAACTAAACCTTTAAATTTACTCACTATTTATTCACTCTCAAGTGGTTTTAAACTTTTAGGATTTTCTCTCTTCTGTTAAACAAAAGTTATATTGAAGAAACCTTAAAACCTGTAACCATTGACATTGAGTATTTGGTTTTCTTACTTTATTCAATTCAATTCATCTTTTTCTATAGCGTTTTTACAATATAGATTGTGTCAAAGCAGCTTTGGAAGTCAATGGTCACAACATTTCTTCTAGTGTTTAGCAGTGGAAAGAATCTAAAAAAGGTTTGAAACCATTGGAGTAAATTGTGATTAAATTTTCATTAAATAAATTCCAATGAGTACATTTTCTGGTTGATCTTTCCCTTTAAAGTGAAATGCATAATTTTATATAAAAGCATCCTGTCATTACTGTGCAAAGGTTCTTGGGAAATTCTTTGTCACGAAGGATTGATCAGTTATTAATAATCGATCTCATGTCTGAATATTATGTAGTCATGTAACCGTAATCTTATTATGTGCATTTAAATTTGAAATGTACTCTAAATATGAGTATTGAGTTCTAATTATGTAATCCCCCTTACATATATTCAGTTATATATGTGGTGTTCCTTCTGCTATGCCCAAAATGTCATTCCTTGTGAATTATTACATTATCTAAATGTTTAGTTGAAATAAACAGTCAAAAAAAGAAAAATCTGACAGCAAAGAAAACTTACAAAATAGTTTATTTTGACTTGAACATAAAAAAGGTTTGAAACAAGCACAATTATTTTTAGATGATCATCATCATTTAAATATTATTATCATTATTGTTTTTAATGAAAACTTCAAAATCCCCATAAAAAAGCACGACAAGTTATCAATAATTGTAAACGCAAGCAGTGAAAATGTCATATTTTAAGATTTATTTCATTTCAAAAATACAAACCCACCCATTCGTTCAGTTTCTCCTAAATTAAGGCCACTTCATAAGACATACATTATTGCCTGTCCAGCAGGACATTTTTAATGACAATTCAATAAAAAACACATTCTTGACACGGAGAACAATAACAATAGTAATAATCATAATGATAATGGCATCATCATTATCAATAATAGTAATTATTTAAAATACAGTACAATATAAAGCCATACTACTGAAGGACACACACACACACACAGGCAGAAACACAGCACAGCTTTGCAGGCATTGTTAGTGGAGAATCATCAATTATCTTGGCACATGACTTTGTTCTTTAACCTGAGATGGGAGCTGCATGGGGTGAGAATGGACCCTGTGAAAATTAACTATTCATGAACAAATGCAAACCATTTTTTATGACATCTTGTGCATTTGGTAACTGCGCAAGTGGCAGCACCAAGGTTCAGAGATGGCAATACCATGGTATGAAGTGATTATGTTCATGCATTTTTCATGCATTTATATTGAACTAAAGAGAATACCATGGTGATGCAACACCTTTTGACCACCTCTTAAGGTTCTTGCATCATGGAAGAATATTTTTAAACGCAAGCTTTAATGGTTTAAGATTTTCCATCACTGCAATTTTTTTGTATGTTTGGTGTGTGATTTAAGTGCCCCTATTACACCTTTTCTACAAAGTAATGCGTCATTTTAAAATTCAAAGTGCATGACGTCCATTTTCAGGGTGTCTGTGGGGTCTCAAAGTCTTATAATGTCTCAAAAAAAAATTAATTTTAGGTATTAAATTCATTTAAATTTTGTATATATTAAATAATTTTAAACAGATCTTAGTTTTCCTTTTATACCTTTATTACCTTGTATGTCTACCTAATAAGGCCAATATGGTTTAACTATATTGATTTAAAAAATATTTTGTTGAAAACAATGCATGTTTATTTACACATTATTTTAAATATGTGGATTAAAAAAAATCTAATTTAGTTATTTCTTATCCTTTCCATTGATCCAACCAGACCATTAAAAAAAAAATCCTTACCATTTAATCTTAAATATTTAGGTCTAAAAATTTATTCATACTGATCTTAAAAAGGTCTTAAGTCTTAAATTTGACTTAATGAAAGCCGCAGAAACCCTGATTTTGAAATGCTAGTTATAATGCCAACCTATGGTCTTCATTGGATGTCCACAAATGTCTACTGGTCCCTTAAACACTGTAGCTGGTTTGTGTAATCGACAATATGTCGAGTATTAGCAATTTCTAAACTCAAATTATAGTTGTGATGGTGGCTTGGGCTGATCAACTAGTTCCATTGAATTTTCATGGTTGGACTCTGGTTTGAATTGATATGGTTGAACTGACACCATTTACACTCACTGATCTTAAATTCAGACATAGTAAATCCATTTTTGACCAATAATAGAAATATGAACGCGTTTTAGTGTCACGGGCATATTCAACTATTGTTGTAGACCTTGAAATAGCATAATATGGGCACTTTAAGGTTGCATGAGGCTGCTGGAAATGTGCTTCAGCTGCAACCTGAGTAAATACAAAGTCTTCTGATCTGGCTTCTGTTTTGACAGAGGGTAAGAGTTCACAATAAGTCGGACATACAAAAACATTCACAACCTTAAAATGACATTTACAAGAGGTTAAACAAACAGCGATGAGCTGGCGTCATTGGCTACACCAGAAGGGAAAGATGCTGAGAGAAGAAGAGGGGAGAGATGAAGTGATAGAGACGCTGGCGGGGGGGAAAGTACCGTATGCCTTTGTACAGCGTGCAGGAAGAGCTCGGCACAGGTGTGAAAGCAAAACATTCAAGACCACTAATTAGGCAATATTCAAATGCTGAGATTCTGAGTGGCATCATTTCGAAAGTAAACAAAAAAAAAGGTCTTCCTTTTGGGTGAAAACCTTGAGTTTCGCTCCTTGGTGTTGCTTCGCTAATAAGTCCCCGTCCTCTGTATTCTCAATTCTCTCCACCCCTTCCCTTTTTTTCCCGTGATCCCTTCTTAAACATTTAAACCTTGTCCAGTAGGGAGCGTTGGCAGTAGAGCAAGCGTCTCGGTGTGCCGTACCTGCGGAAGAAGAGAAGTGCGCCGAGTGTAAAAATGACACAGACCAACAGCATGAGTGGCACCACCACGGCAGCCGCTCCTCCTCTGCTGCTGGGTGCATCTTCAACCTCGATTATGAGCACTTCTGTCTCCTCCTTTTTGCCCTCTTCCTCAGTTTTGTCCACCTCATTTGTGCGGTCTTGTTCACGTTCACGCTCTCGTGCGCGCTCCCTCTCTCGCTCCCTTTCACGCTCACGTTCTCTCTCACGTTCCCGGTCTCGGTCACTTCCTCCACCACCTGTATTGGAGTCTTCGTTAGGGCAGCCCATCCAATCCTTAAGTGCTGATTTGGGGTATCCAGGCTCCACTTTCAATAACTGGTTGTTAAACTTCCAGTACTTGTTGGCTTTGTAGAAGTAGGTATAACCTGTTAAGAGAGAAAAGGTCAGGACTGTGTTGTGGTAGTAATCTTTGGCTCAAAGCTTACATCCTGACTACAGTTTTTCTTCAATGCATGTCTTGTCTATGACAGGACAATAATGAGAGGCAGGGAAATATTAGAATAGAGGAAATGGGGGTCAGGAAGTGAAACAGGCCAGACTTTCACCTATTGAGGCACAATGTGACAAGTGATAAATGCTTATATCAGTAGGTCAAACACCAGACGTCCTATTTTGGGTGTTCACACCAATCAAGACAAAGAGAGCCCAGCGAACAATTTTGTGTTTAATAGATGTCTAATAGACTAAACGTAATCTAAACGTAGACAGCTTGGCTAAAACAAAGCTAAACTTGGGCTGTCATTGAAAATCTAATAGATGTCAAAGAATAGCCCAAAACTAGACTAGTAATCAAATAGACAGACTTTATATGTGCAGTCATTGATTTCTGTTTATTTGATGACTAGTCTAATTTTGACCTATTCTTATACGTCTATTAGATTTACACTGACAGCCCAAATTTATGGCACAGTAGGTAGTGCTGTCGCTTCACAGCAAGAAGGTCGCTGGTTTAAGCCTCAGCTTGGTCAGTTGGCATTTCTGTGTGGAGTTTGCATGTTCTCCCCACGTTCGTGTGGGTTTTCTCTGGGTGCTCCGGTTTCCCCCACAGTCCAAAGACATCCGGTATCGGTGAATTGGGTAGGCTAAAATTGTCCGTAGTGTATGTATGTGAATGAGTGTGTATGGATGTTTCCCAGAGATGGGTTGCAACTGGAAGGGCATCAGCTGCGTAAAAACGTGCTGGATATGTTGGTGGTTCATTCCACTGTGGTGACCCCAGATTAATAAAGGGACTAAGCCGAAAAGAAAATGAATGAATGAGTAAATGAGTTCTAGACTTATTCAAATACTCTTTTCTTTTTTTACAAAATGTTCTATTATTCAGTGTTACTGATACTATGAATGGAACAAAGTGCTTGTTTTAAAATGTTTAAAAAAATAAGCGATTATTGAAGTGATTGTAAATTGTATTATATTTGAAACAATTAAAAAGGCTTTTGTTAAAAAATGGATAAAACAGAGGTTTGAAGGATTGTGGCAAGCTATAAAGATTTAAAAGTACAATTAATTAGTGTTTTGGAGCTGCACTTTGATTATTGAAGTCTTTTAATATATTATCCAGGGTTCCCACAGGTCTTGTAAGTTCTTGAATTTTATGGAATTTTATAAGGTCTATTTCATACATTAAGAGTCAGGGAGTTATATGTATTTTTTGTTTGTTTTTTCAAAATGTAGTTTTTCAGTATGTTTTAATTTTTTGCCATTTTATTCCTTTTAATGCTTGTTTACTGGCAATCAAATATCGTGAAATATTAGCACATTAGCATTGGAAGTGAATGAGACCGGAAGCCTTGAGCCATTTAAATTACAATGGTCGTGCCACACTTATGTGAAAAATAAAGCAGAAAGCAGAACCATTAAAAGCATGTCTGAATCCACTTTTGCTATTTTAAGGACGGTAAAATACGGTTTGCCCCGCGTTGCATGGTGTAACAGGGTTGTACTTATTCTCTTGATGAGTTATGGGTGTGTTTTAAGCAAAACGTGCATTAAACCAGAGTCCCATCTCCCATTCCCTTTAAAAGTCAGTTGCGCCACACTGTGGCACATTTGCCATTTACATGGCGGACTTTGTAAGAGGAATAACTAAATGGAAAAATTGAATGCTTTACTAGCAAGAAAACAGTTTAACAGACCATCTGCATGAGGATAAAGAACAAACCTCCTCCATTCAGCCTCTTTACTTTTGCTCTTTACTTTACTCCTTTACTTTGGTGGATAAGGAAACATGTCATACGCACACGATGTTGACATCCATTGGCCTACATATCTAATTTAGTTTGTAAATGTTTAGCGCAAAAATTTGTTTCAAAACTATTCCTAAATTCAGTTCTAATTTCCAGCAAACAAATAAATGAACAACAATAATGAAGTGTGGTCAAAAAACTATTTAAACAACGGTGCAAAATGGGAAAATTAGGGTTTCGCTTGTCTCAAAATAGCAACAAATCGCACCAAACATGTCTTGCGCCTTATTGTGCTGGCTGTATGATAGGGACCTCTATGTGGTTACAGATTGTCATATGACTGACTGACACTACTAAAACACAAAATAGTAAAAGACTGATCATGTCAGAATAGAAAATCGGCTCATAAATTAAACTTTTATTCTGTATAACAGCTGAAATGGACTGGAGGTTTGTTAAAAAAGTGAAAAGCTTACCTTGATCTCGACTCATGAATGCAGCCTTTATGTTGTCTGGAACGCCTTGCCATTTACTAATGGGTTTGGGATAATCTGGATCCACTGAGTGCGTGTCTTCATTGTAACGATAATATCTGATGAAAGATAAGCAGCAGTTTCAGATCTATGCTCTCTTTGTGCTCGTGCTTTATATTATGGGACATCAAAGCTACTGACTTGTTTCCTCTGAAGAAGTAAGTGTAGCCTGTAGGCGTGTAGAGAAGAGCTGCATCCAGTTTGTCCTTTGGTACACCAGTTCCCAGTTCTCCTAAAACCTTCGGGTATCCTGGCTCTAAGTTGGACTCAGTGAACACCCAATGCCTGTCCCCTGCAAACCAGACATGTCAAATGTAGTATTTCAGGGTCAATAAGCAAATCCTCCACTGAATTCATGCGATAAGATAGATCTAGTACCTTTGAAGAAGACAAATTTGCCATCTTCTCTTTCATATGCAGCATTAATGTCAGTAGGCAGACCTCTCCAGAAGTGTCCAATTGGCATGGGGTAGTTTTCCATAACTTGATTATTACGAACACGCCAGAACCACTTACCCTAAAACACAGAGACAGGAACCATAATGAACAAACAATCTCCTAGTCATTATTCCAAAAATAATGCAGCACATACTCCATCAGTACCTTAAACACAAACATTTCTCCTCTGAAAATGCCAATGGTGTCAAAATGACCCTCGCAGATGTTGGGACCATAGGAGGGTCCTCCTGGCCTGTATGGTGTGGGGTATGGAGTGTGATGGGGCGTCTCAGGGGAGACAGGGGGTCGAGGGTGTCCTCCAGATCCTGGCCCTACAGAGATTAAATCAAAAAATATATATATTTTAGTGAATTAGATGAGTTGCATTGGTCTGTGTAAATAACTGATTGACAAAAGCATCTTAATATGTAATTAAATGCTGTACTTGACTATTATTTTTCACTCTAGTTGAACTGAAAATTAATTGGAAATGGTATACTGCTCCATTATTGGATTTTACTATACAGGGGTGCGTTTCTGAAAACCATCGCTAGCCAACTAAGGTCGCAAGTTGCGTCATTACAAACATAGTTCGTTGATTTGGTGTTTCCCATATCCATCAATACAATAAAAATTTGCAAACTGCATCGCAAACTTGAACGTTTCCAACTACTCCTCTTGAGCTGTAGTGTTCTATTCCCAGTTATCCCCCCTATGCCCTATCAATTTCGAACATTCCAGCATTTAAACTTGAAATGATATAAAAAAAACTAAAACATTAAAGTCATTTATCTTAGGTGTAATTTGTTTTAAAGTATTTTTTACAGTTCAGTTTTAGTGATCTTTATATTGACAATTGCATTCCCTTTATAGTGCACTTTGAAAGCATGTATGCAATTTTGAATGCAGCCGTGGCCGTCTAAGCTTTTCACTCATCATAGTACACATGCTGCTGATGATGATGATCCATGCTAATTTAGTTCCTTTCATTTAAAGGTTAGCTTTCTCAGCACTAAATTAAATAAGTAATCTATGCCAAATTTAATAGATCATTTTAGTGTTGATTGTCAATTTTTTTTGTATACATTAGGTACATTTGTGTAATTTAGTTTTATGCTTATAGAAAACATCTGTATTTATCAGATACAACTTAGCATTAGATAAAATATGTAATATTCTCAAAATCTAACAAATGAATCCTTACAAGGTGTGTTGGCCTAATGCAGAAATGCCCAAAGTAGGGCTCACGGGCCAAAGTTGGCCCATTATAACCTTTGATTTGGTCCACCATCCCATCTGAGAATGATAGAGAGAGTTGGGGCAATACCTTTAACAGAGATCATTTCTAATTTCACCTAAGAAAAAAATATTTGTTTTGTTTCGCCACAAAAAGGCTAATTATAATGACATTTAATAAAATATAAACAAATTTGAGTTTTTAAAGCGTAAATGCTGTCACTCTATAGAAGACTGTGCCGAAGACATCAGTGAGTAAATCAAGGCACAAACTATTGTAACTCCATTCTGTTATAAAAGAGATTTTTTTGTTGTTACTGTAAGTTCAGTATAAAATATAAAAAAAAAATAAGTGTGTGTGTGTGTGTGTGTGTGTACAGTTGAAGTCAGAATTATTAGCCCCCCTTTGATTTTTTTTTCCCTTTTTAAAATATTTTCCAATATATGTTTATGAGAGCAAGGAAATTTTCACAGTATGTCTGATAATATTTTTTCTTCTGGAGAAAGTCTTATTTGTTTTATTTTGGCTAGAATAAAAGCAGTTATTAATTTTTTAAACACCATTTTAAGGTCAACACTATTAGCCCCTTTAAGCTATATATTTTTTCGATATTCTACAGAACAACCCATCATTATACAATAACTTGCCTAATTACCCTAACATGCCTAGTTAACCTAATTAACCTAGTTAAGCCTTTAAATGTCACTTTAAGCTGTATAGAAGTGTCTTGAAAAGTATATAGTCAAATATTATTTACTGTCATCATGGCAAAGATAAGGGCGAAGCAGTGGTGCAGTAGGTAGTGCTGTTGCCTCACAGCAAGAAGGTCACTGGGCCACTGGTTCGATTCTTGGCTCAGTTGGTGTTTCTGTGTGGAGTTTGCATGTTCACCTTACATTCGCATGGGTTTCCTCCGCGTGCTCCGGTTTCCCCCACAGTCCAAAAACATGTAGTACAGGTGAATTGGCTAGGCTAAATTGTGTATGAGTGTAATAGTGTATGAGTGTGTGTGATTGAGTGTTTGTGGATGTTTCCCAGAGATGGGTTGCAGCTGGAAGGGCATCTGCTGCGTAAAACCTTCTGGATAAGTTGGTGGTTCATTCGGCTTCATTAACCCCAGATTAATAAAGGGACAAAGCCGACGAGAAAATGAATGAATGGCAAAGATAAAATAAATGAGTTATTAGAAATGAGTTATTAAAACTGTTTAGAAATGCGTTGAGAAAAATCTTCTCTCCGTTAAACAGAAATTAGGAAAAAATAAACAGGTGGGCTAATAATTCTGACTTGTGTGTGTGTGTGTGTGTGTGTGTGTGTGTGTGTGTGTGTGTGTGTGTGGTTGTGTATATATGTGTGTGTGTATATATGTGTGTATATGTATTGGTTTTTGGCCCTTCATAAGAGAAGGTTTTGGGCACGCCTGCCCTAATGTTCCTAGGTTAAGTTACTGATAACAACCCCAATTGTTGAGGACACAGATCTGTTAATCTTGATGCTTTTACCATAAAGCTTCTGAATGCCTTTCCGATCATCATCAGGAAGCACAAAGTGGTCGGTTTCCATCCACTGGTAGAATGGAGCCATGATGGCGGATGGGTCGTTTGAATGCTCCATTCCCAAAGCATGACCCAGTTCATGCACAGCCACCAGGAACACATCATTACCTGAGAGAAAGACGAATATAAGCACAGGTCAGACTGGCCAACCTTAAATGGCATTCTGTATAATGGTGTACTGCGCATTACCAACAACTATTTTGAGTGAATGACAGCTAAGGGAGAACAACTGTTCCTTTCTTACAGAACTTGTTTTTTGGCATTCAGTCCACAACAGGGAAATGACAAAGCATGAAAAAATCAAGAGGTTCAAAACATTGTCAATGAAAGGTAAGGCTGATTCAAATCAGTTCAGTAGCGTGCACAACCCAATACATGCTTGGACTTGCCTAACTCCTTTTCACACATATATTGAGTTGATCTGAACTCATTTGAGCATGTCTAAACAGGACCTATCATCCAAACTGACACAAACAAGCGAAACCCCCTTCGGAGGTCTAGAGTGTTTTCGCTGACGTGCGGTGTTTGTTCTTACCCAGCAAGTCTTTGTTGCCAATAGTCCAAGGCTCAGCTGCGTCAAAGTGCGTATCCCCTCCTATGCCATTCCCTGGGAAGTAAGCATGGGCCAAGAAACCTCCTTCTCCATCAAATGGACTGGCATCGCCATGAAAGCCATCAGCGAAGAAGAGCATGATGTCTGCAAAGTCTACAACCTTGTCCCTGATGTCACTATAAGAGATCTCTCTGAATCGCAAAGGCGTAACGCTTTCCCACACTTTGAAGGCTTTTCTGATTGCCTCAAATGTCTCGTATTCCCCAACCTTTGGCGTGTAGTTCTGTATGCTGAGAAAGAGATAAGAAAGGGTGAATTGGAGAAAAAGTAGGCCATAGGAAAAAAGAGGGAATATAGGCAGAAGAGGGAGAGAAAAAATGATTTACATTACAGACAAGTCACACAGGAATTTTGGCCCTGGCTGCAGCGGAGCAGAATCGTATAGCAAGGCCAAAGATGACTTTTCCATAAGTGTGCTGCATATTTACTAAAGCACAGGCCACAGCCATATCTAAACGTTTATGACAGCAAACCTCAATTAACCGGTAATGGTTTTGGATGGGATTTGTGCACCGAAATTGACCTAAATACACTTTCAAATGCTACAGAAAGAAGTTTCTTACCAGAATGTGATCTCATTTTTGTCCCATTTCAGTCCCTGGATGGCGTAGCGCTTCTTTCTCAGGTTGCTCTTCAGTTCGGATCCAAACTTGTCTGGGACGCCACAGCGGGGCCTCTTCATTGCCCTGGCAATCAGCATCCAATACATTAGATCATCCACCGCACAACAGATTTAATTTCAGCCATTTTGTACAGGGTGGCTATTAATTTCTGTCCTCATATATTCTACATCTTCCGTGCCTCATTGCACACCAGTAAAGGATTGCTGACACAATGCTGTACTTTTTCCATTCCCTCCTTCCATGACTAACAACAGCATAACTGATGGGCCAAAATAATTCCACAGAGATATCTGTAAGCTCTTGAATCTCCTGAACTAGCCGCAGTTGTTCAGAAAATGCAAGACTGATCCCGTGGAGGAAATAAGGCATCATTTTTTTGACATTTTATGTAAATGTATTTTAAAGAAATGCAACCCTGGACATGGCAGCATTAATTGGACAAAATAATACATTGTAGCTGTCATGTTGGAAAACTGGCTTACTCTAGAGTATTGGCATCCAAATTGCCAGTGACTGTCAGGCCGTAGAATCTCTGCATGGCAGCAATGGCAGAGGGGACAGACTGAGGAGAGCGGGCCGTATGTGTGCGCAAATCACCAGGGGGCAAGTAACCATACTGCTGTAGCCATGCCTGAAACAAGACAGAAAGAGAGGCAAAGTTCTTTGTAAACAGTTTTTTTTAAAGTTGTTTTTTGAGTTTTTTTTTATGAAAGGTCAAAAACTAAACTTTATTAAGGCTAGCGGGCCGAAGGTAAGTATAGTTGTTATGGATAATTTCTAAATTTATTTAATAGTATTTAAAAATAACAAAAAAATTGCTTCATATTAACTAATGCAGCTTTTTTTTTTTACATTTTATACTGAACTTATTACAGTAAAAACAAAAAAATATCATAACAGAATAGAGTTACACTAGTTTTTGCCTTAATTTGCTCGCCGATGTCTTTTGCATAGTCCTTTTTTTGTAAGTTGACAGCTTTTACATTTTAAAAATTTAGATTCATTTATATTTAATTAAAACACGCCAGTTAGCTTTTCTGTGGCAAAATAAAACAAACAAAAAAAGGTAAGGTCAAATTAGAAATCATGATCTCTGTTAAAGGCATTGCCCCAATCCTCTCTATCATTCTCAGATAGGATGGTGGGCCAAATCAAAGGTTACAATGGGCCAACTTTGGTCTACGGGCCCTACTTTGGGCATCTCCGCCTTTTGAGTTTCTTAGTTCCGTTGAACACAAAAGAAGATATTGAAAAATTTTAGAAACCAGTAACCGTTGACTTCCATACTAGGAGAAACAATTGCCGGGAGTCTCCCGTATTTCAGACAAATCTCCCACCACCCTGCCGTTTTGTTATTTCTTCTGGAAAACTACCGTAAATTTACCACCACATCCCCCCTGCCCCAACCGGTACTCAGCTTGTTGGTACAGCCTGAAATACCCCCCAGTTCACCAACTTGGGTATAGTGTCCGATCGCAGCGGCCACCTGAAACCTGCTCCATAGTACAGTTACTAACACCACAGTACAGACACATGGAGTCACAATCCCCCAACACCCCTCTCTCACTCTTCACTTATGTCTATAAACCCGGCTGGCTCAGTTGGCATTTCTGTTTGCATGTTCTCCCCGTGTTTGCCTGGGTTTCGTCTGGGTGCTCTGGTTTCCCCCACAGTCCAAAGACATGCACTATAGATGAATTGAATAAACTAAATTGGCCGCAGTGTATGTGTGTGAATGCAGCTGAAAGGGCACTGTGTTAAACATATGCTGGATAAGTTGGTGGTTCATTTCACTGTGGTGACCTATGATGAATAAAGGGACTAGGACAATGAATGAATGAATAAATTACAAGACAGTTCTTGTAAATGAACAGCATTTCTAAATAGGTATTTTGAATTTGATCAAATAAGTGTAGCGTTGTTGTTGAAAATGTGCTGACCTCAATCTAATATTTTGATATTCAAACACATATTTGCTAGATTACTAACAGCTTCATTTAGTGTTGGTAGGAGTGAACCTCTCAAACCCATGGGATCGGGCAGGGATCCTTACCACAATTGATGAAACAATGCACTTGAAGCACTGGGATTTATTCGAAATTCACTTAACAAGTACGTCTAAACAAAGTAATATATCAAGTGCGTGCCTAGACTGATTTATGACCTTGCTTTTCTTTGTGGCGAAAGGAAGAAGCTGCATTATCTTTTTTTTAAAACCAAGTCAGTGACGGCACAAATGCATTTCTTCTTGCAGCAATATAGGATGATAGATGAGATAATGAAAGGTGAAGTGTTATCTGTCTGTGACTCCCTCGGGGAGAAAGATACTGTCTCCAGTTAAACCAAACTGTCAGTCAGTAATTTCCCAGGGAATTTCTGGTTAATGCCATTGAAACCACAGAGACGGAGCCCTTATCCTGTAAATCCCCCCTTTCTCTGCCTCCTCCACAATTCTCTCTTTCCCTCTTTTCTCTTAAGCTGCTGCAGGAACGAAGGACAACAATGTAGACACACACCCTGTGGGACCTCAGCACGCTGTAGCTCATTGCAGAAAAACATGTGGCTCACATGACTTGGCAGTCGGCGCATGTGCGGTCTTTGTGACTAAAGTGTCAACAGACAGAGGTTCCTCCGCATGATCAGCATATTTAATGTTTATTATGGTGCTCTCTGGCTGAATGTGTTTTTGAGCGTGCGTTTTGGCAGCAGACGTGATTACGTGCACAGTCAGATGCTTCAGAGCCTGAGTTCCAAGTTGATGTAATCCTGGAAATTTTGTTTTTCCTTTTAAGAACTTGCTGTTTTCTTGAGCCTCTTATTCCTCTATTTACTTAGTTCCTGCACTCTATTTTCTTCTTTTTGTCTCAGGCTCTATACCAGGCTATGGGGCTATGATTTTTTAACTTCCTCATAATTCTTCTCTATCATCTGACACTGAATAGTGCAGTTTCTTTGGCTGCCTGTGACTCAGTCTCCGCTCAAACAAAGGTTCAGTGTGTTACATCTATATGAGGGTAAGAAGACCGTTTATGGGTTATGGATTGGTGGGGGATGGCGGAGATTCATTGTGATGAATGAATGCATCCATTCACTGTAACTGGACTAAAGTGAGATCACAATTTGCTGAGTGATGACCATTTTATGAATGATTATGAGAGCTTATACTTATGTTAAATGCATTATATATCATTAATTTTCCTTCGGCTTAGTCTCTATTTCAGAGGTCGCTACATCGGAATGAACCACCAACTATTCCAGCATATGTTTTATGTAGTGGATGCCCTTCAGCTGCAACCCAGTACTGAGAAACACTCATACATTCTCACATTCACATACATACACTACAGCCACCTTAGTTTGTTCAATTCACCTATAGCGCATGTCTTTAGACTGTGGGGGAAACCGGAGCATCTGAAGGAAACCCATGCCAACACTGGGAGAACATGCTAACTCCACAAAGAAATACCAAATCAACCAGCCAGGACTTGAACCAGCGGCCTTCTTGCTGTGAGGCAACAGTGCTAACCACTGAGCCACCGTGCCACCCATCATATATCAGTTGCACATAATGTTCATTCAGCCACGTGCAGGATTCAGTAATTGAAGTTTATGAATTAATTAATTTTTTTAAAAATTTCTGTCACAAAAACTTGTCATTCTGCTTTATAAACCAAGGATTAACCTCCAGTGCCATTTAGGTTAGTTTGACGATGGATTCATGCGCTTAAGAAAGTTTAGACAACGTCAGTACCCGTCAGCTTTAATTGTGGGAAAAACTGGATAATTTTGAGCTTTTAAAATCATTTTAGGGTGGGATCAAAATTGGTGACGTAGAGCGAATCTTTTAGTGGAGTTATGACGCAGCGGTTTCTCATTATTATTCATAGCGACATTTTCTTATCCTATGAGAAGACCCTGCTGCTTGATTATTTATGAGAGCACGTGCTTTCCGATGGCAAGGCAGACCTGCAAAGCTGTGAGATCCAATGACTGGGTGAGATCACATCTACGGACTTCGCATATGGCATGCAGTATTTAGCTGTTCATGAAGGGTCGTATGTGTTTGTTTCCATGATCCATGGGGTTTGTTGCATGTTTTGCGCAGTGTGATGCTGTCAGTGCCAATTTAGCAAAGCTGTTGGTTTGCAGCAAGCATTTTTGTCGAGAAAGCTGTATGAGAAATGGAGAATGGCGGACTTTGTTTTTTATCAGTTGAGTTTGTTACCATTCAGACACATCATCTATGTCCATGCTGCTGTGTTTGCCATATGTTTAAAATCCTCCAGATTACCGGCAGGGTTAATAGTTGGAATAGACAGGACAAGAGACCTGCTGCTGCACTGCTATCCACTGTGTCTGAATTCAGACCCCGGGATTTAGGAGGAGAGAAGTCCTCATTTATAGTGTTTATATAAACACGATTATCTTTATTATGATTTAAATTGTAGTTATGTGTATGTGAAAATACGAATAACATATGTAGCAGAGCATTAAATTACTGTTTATTTCTATGCATTTTAACTTTGTTATCCATAAGATCATGCGTCTTCTCAGTTTGTGTCTCAGTTTGTGAGCCAACTGACAACAGTTGTTAGCTCCCCATCTTCTCCTTTGCTCTGCTGGCCACGCCCACTCCTCCCTATGCTCACAGATCTCCATGCCCCTTATAAAGAAATTTTATTTTATTTTTTATTTATTTATTTATTTATTTTTTACAAATTCTGAGGGAGACTTGAACCAAAAGAGGAGGGTTTCATGGCCCTTTAAAACTACTCTGACTGTGTTCATCTGACAGAATAAAGTCAAATATGATGGTTTTAGGGTGAGTAAACTATTACATTTAATTTTTGTGGTGAACTATTGCTTTATATCCATTCTGATAAATGAAGAATGTGTTGAGAATTGAAGCAGAACAAACATCATGTGTGAAGTCTTTGCTGTTGCTCAACATTTCTTGCATCTCTCGAAAACAACTTCTAAACTTGATTTCCCAACAGTCTGCCAGTACATCCTGTCTTCCACACAGAGGAAGTTATTTCCATGAAAAAAAGAGTCTATAAAGTGAAGGATGTTTACTCAATCTTCCGCAAGTTGTATACAGTTTTATTGCATGATTCACGTAAATTATTGGCTGTGCAATCTTTTGCTTTTGTACTACACTAAAGTGTCTTTGATGACCTGTTTATGACTGTCATTACACCAAAAATCAAGGGGGAGAGGTTTAGGTTTTGAACATTTATGTATTCAATATACCAATTGATCTGTTAATCTTTGTCATAGCATCTATTGTTATGACATCATCCAAACAGATTGAGCATCAAGGGGTCACACACCTGACAAGAAGCACAGCAACACACAAATATCTAAGACAACTCCTAAGGTATTGCACACTGGACATGTTACGTATTTGTTGTATTCATGTTGAATTCAAGACAGCAATCCACAAAGGTTAATCTAATCACCAAACTTGCCAAAACCGACCATAAAAAACATGAAGTGCACATATTTTTTTCTGTTCAATCACAATGTTGTCCATAACTATTCAGATCAGCTTTATACACTACCCTACAAAAGTCATTGCCTATCTAAGTTTTAGGAACAGCAAATAACTACTTGACTTCTAGTTGATTA